TGTGGGGGCTGTGGCTCCTGTGGGGGCTGTGGCTCCGGCTGTGGGGGCTGTGGCTCCTGTGGGGGCTGTGGCTCTGGCTGTGGGGGCTGTGGCTCCAGCTGTGGGGGCTGTGGCTCCAGCTGCTGTGTGCCCATCTGCTGCTGCAAGCCCGTGTGCTGCTGTGTGCCAGCCTGTTCCTGCTCCAGCTGTGGCTCTTGTGGGGGCTGCAAGGGGGGCTGTGGCTCCTGTGGGGGTTCCAAGGGGGGCTGTGGCTCTTGTGGGGGCTCCAATGGGGGCTGTGGTTCCTGTGGGGGATCCAAGGGAGGCTGTGGCTCTTGTGGCTGCTGCCAATCCAGCTGCTGTAAGCCCATCTGCTGCTCCTCAGGCTGTGGGTCATTCTGCTGCCAATCCAGCCTCTGCAAACCCTGCTGCTCCCAGTCCAGCTGCTGCATACCCATGTGCTGCCAGTGTAAGATCTGAGGCTCTGAACCCAGACTGTCAGGCTTCTCCTGTTTGGTGAAAGCGTTTCTTATGGTTTTCCTGAATCAGTTCGTCCCACAAATCCTCCCTGAGGCTCCTTCACCTGCTCCAGCTCATATCCACGCACACGCCCCCTTCCACGGCTCCGCTCTCCACCGGGCCCTGCCTTCGGCCTCCTCACTCCAGACACGCGTGTTTCCTTGATGCAGGAGATGTCCTCGTCTGGACGCGGGGCGCCGAGCCAACTGCCACAGTGTCCCCACCTTTGGATGTGAATCATCTTCCCCGCCTGGCTGACTGAGATGCAAGGTCGGACCCCACAAGGCTGGGCCGGCGTTTCTGAGTGATCGCTAAGAACCAGCTCATCAACACCATCGGGACACTGGGTCCCCCTGGGCTGCTGCCTATCCTCCTGTGACCCACCGGTGACCAGGAAGGGCTCCTTCCTTCCTGTTGTCCCCGTCTGTTTAAAAAAGAAAAACAAAATAACCAGTGAATTTTCTTGTCCAGCCCCTTTCCTGTGCGGTGACTGAGTCTGTGCTCTGGGATCTGTCCGCTAGGCTGGGGAACGCCTGCCAGCAGGCCTGGTGCATTCACAAGGCACCCCACCGTTCACTTCTGCCCTCCTCGCCGCCTCAAATATCTTCACCCTCTCTACTTGCAGGAGAAGACGGCTCAGCTTGGGGCGGATTCGGCATTCGATGCCTGCCCTAGAGACACTGAGGGGCAGGAGGGCCCTGAGTACTGAAGACCAGCCGAGCAGGGCGGGGCCCAGGACTCCTGGCTGCCAGCTTCCCGCTCTCTTCAGGGGCCTGAAGGACCCCAGGCAGGGAAAGGTCGGGGGAGGGGTAGCGAAGCACCGCTGACCCACAGCGCACCTCTGATTCGAACACAAAATTGGCCTTTTAGAATTATGAAGTCAACGGGCCTTCCATAACTAAAAGTCACCAGAAAGTTATAGAACGGCCCAAGGTGTGCTCAGAGCTCAGTCTCCCAGCAGGAAAGGGGAGCTCCTGGGAAGTGACACATTTGGGGAACCCGAGCCAAGTCCATCTGTTTCATGGTGACGCATCACCACACAGCGACACAGGCAAGGCTTTAGAAATTACGCCAGTGGAGGAGGGGACCTGAGTGATCTGAAGACCATCTCCTGCCAAGCAAACACGGAGGGAAAAGGTGGAGGGAGGAGAGTGCACAGGAGCACTGGTGAGAAATGAGCTCCCACGGAACGCCCGCAGATCTGAGCGACTGCTGATACTGCTGGGGAAGAACAGGGCGGAAATTTCAAAGACAAATTTCTGAGATAAAAGACGTGCAGCATAAGGAAAAATGAAATAATCTAGAAATAAAACCTTAGATTGTTTCAACCACATGTAGGACTGGGAATAACAGTGTGTCAAAGGCACATCTTGTGGGGGACATGGCTATTGTTAGTTTCCCGATGATAAAGGGAAATGCTGCTTCAGATGGTTTACTCAAAAATCCAGACTGGAAGCTCCAAAGGTGGCAGCACACATGAACGCAGGGCTGATTGCACCTGAGCCCTGTACATTCCCACAGCCCACAGGGCATCAGGCAACTCAGTAACAAAACCGAAAATGCATGGTGGAGACTTATAGCAAAGCCAGGTAAGCCGAGCCTGGTGGTGCACACCTGTAGCTTCGGCTACTTGGGAGGCTGAGGCGGGAGGATGGCTTGAGCCTGAGAGCTTGAGGCTGCAGTGAGTTTTGATTGTGCCTCTGAACTCTGGGCAACATAACATGAGACTTTGTCTCAATAAACCAAAAACAACAATGAGTGAACCTGAAAATACAAGCCTGTCAGGACAAGTTATCAAGAGCCGCAGCCACCCAGGGTTTCAGGGTCTGTGCAGGAGAGAGCAAAGAATCATCTAGCAGAGCTGAAAACAGGGAACCTCACAATCACCAACAGGTGCAAGCTGGAAAATCACAGCATGAATTTTGAATTCAGCTCCTGAAATGGGGAAGGTTTTCCTCCCTCCAGTGGTGAGTGGGTGCAAGGGCCCTTGGTAAGTCCCTACAGGCAAGGAAATGATACAGACATAAATGAGGCTGCATGTGGTGGCTCGTCCCAGTAATCCCTGCAATTTGGGGCTGAGGCAGGAGGATCACTTGAGGCCAGGAGTTCAAAACCAGCCTGGGCAACATAGTGAGACCCACAGCTCTATAAAACATTTTTAAAATTAAGTGGGCATGGTTGTGTGTGTCTTTAGTCCCAGCTACTAGGGAAGCTGAGATGGGAGGATGGCTTGAATCTGGGAGGTTGCGGCTGCAGGGCGCTATGATCCTGCCACTGCACTCCAGACTGGGCAACAGAGTGAAACCCTGTTTCAAAAGAAGAGACAAAAATGAACAACAAAAGCCATAAGTAGAAGAATTGCTAAATGAGGTGACATCACTCAAGAGGAAATTAGAGATCAAAGAAATCACTCTAGAAATAAAATCTAAAATGGGGCAAACACATGAGTAAGTAAGTACAATAAATTTTAGGCCAGGCGCGGTGGCTCACGCCTGTAATCCCAATGCTTTAGGAGGCGGGTGGATCACGAGGTCAAGAGATTGAGACCATCCTGGCCAACATGGTGAAACCCCGTCTCTACTAAAAGTACAACAAATTAGCCGGGTATGGTGGTGCGTGCCTGTAGTCCCAGCTACTCAGGAGGCTGAGGCAGAAGAATTGCTTGAAACCAGAAAACAGAAGTTTCAGTGAGCTGGGATCGCGCCACTGCACTCCAGCCTGGCGACAGAGTGAGACTCCGTCTCAAAAAATAAGAAGAAGAAGAAGAAGAAGAAGCACAATACATTTTAAAAACCAAAAAGAAATGAAGAGCTAAAAAGGATTCAAGAGACAATGACAAAAATGGAAAAGAAGCAAAGAAGACCCAAGACTCCTACACGTAGCAGGAATCATTAGGGGGAGACAACCTAAGTTGTGTGACAGTCAAACTGTTACAGAAAAAACTGGAATAATAAAAAGGCCCTAATAAAATATAAGAGAAAAAGAAACATAGATCAGGTGATGCAATAGAAAATTCAAATTAAGAACGCAGATTTAAACCCAAATATGTCAGTAATTATAAGAAAATGCATAAAGTGCTCTTGTTGAAATATGGATTGCTAGACTAGTTTTCTTTAGAAATGTGTAACTCTATGTGAAGTCAAATGTTGAATCTAAAACATTAGGATTCAAAAGGTTAAAAAAAAAAAGAGGGGTAGTAAATGACATAACATGCAAAGAAAGCTATATTAATAGTAGACAAAATAAAAACAAGGGCTCGGTGGGTGCCACGGCTCACACCTGTGATCCCAGCACGGGGAGGCGGAGGCGGGAGGATCACCGGAGATCAGGAGTTCGAGACCAGCCTGATCAACATGGTGAAACCCTGTCTCTACTAAAAATACAAAAAACAACAACAACAAAAACACAGCAGGTATGGTGGCACGTGCCTGTAATAACAGCTACTCAGGAGGCTGAGGCAGGAGAATCACTTGAACCCAGGAGGTGGAAGTTGCACTGAGCCGAGATCGCACCACAACACTCCAGCCTGGGCAACAAGAGTGAGACTCCAGCTAAAACATATATATACACACACATACATATATATATATGCGCACACGTATTTATGCATCATATATGTGCTGAGAATTGTATAGATCACAATCCTCAGTTAATGAGCCCTACACAGACATTCTTGTTATTATTTAACTTTTCTCCATCATTACCCCAAGTCCCACCTTCCTCTCCACCCATAGGCATTTATCCTTGCACACATCTTTCCACCTCCTCTTCCATAAGTTTATTTACATACATGTGCATATACTCATGACAAATACGTGGTGTTTTTCAGTGTATATGTTTTTTGGTTTTGCTTCTCTTGGGTTTGTTTCTGTTTTCGAGACAGGTCTTGCTCTGTCACCCAGGCTGGAGTGCAATGGTGCAATCTCAGGTCACTGCAACCGCCACATCCTGGGCTCCAACGATCCTCCTGCCTCAGCCTCCCAAGTAGCTGGAACTACAGTCGCACACCTCCACGCCCAGATCATGTTTGTATTTTTTGTAGAGACAGGGTTTCACCATGCTGCCCAGGCTGGTCTCGAACTCCTGGACTCAAGTAATCCGCCCGCCAGACCTCCCAAAGTGCTGGGATGGCAGATGTGAGCCGCTGCATCGGGCCTTGTGTATGTCAGTGACGTTCGTGATGGTTGTAAATTTTGTTCTGTTTCTCACCTTTTGAGCAAATCGGGTGCTTTTTGCCTGTATTGCTACATGAAAATACAACACATTATTTATGGCCATTGGATTCACGCCCCCATTTCCCACATCCATCGCCGTTTTTTGAGGAGGAAACCCGAACCCGAGGTTCAGGAACGGTGTGGAGGAACTGCGATCCCGGCTCACTGCAACCTCCGCCTCCCGGGTTCAAGGAATTCTCCCGCCTCAGCCTCCCAGGTGGCTGGAATTACAGGCACGTGCCACCACACCTGGCTAACTTTTGTATTTTTAGTAGAGACGGGGTTTTGCCGTGGTGGCCAGGCTGGTCTCGAACCCGTGATCTCAGCTGATCCGCTGCCTCGGCCTCCAACAGTGCGGCGATTACAGGCGGGAGCCACCGCGCCCTGCCAGGCTGTGCCGTTTTAAATGGATGAACCGTATGATATGCGCCTTTTATCTCAATGAGGCCGCTCTTTTAACACAGACACATGGAGACGCGCAGTAGATTGGACATTCGTCTGACTGGACTCGAGGGAGACGCAGGAGCGGGAGAGTGAGGGGGCTTCCCCAGGTGGAAACCGGAACCCGGGTGCGGGG